GCTACATTACCCTCTGTTGGTGGTAAAATGCCACTACATATATGAGTGTGTTTACTACAGAGAGTTTTGTGTTGTTTTCTTTGGCTAAGCACCACAGCTTATGTCTGACTATGTTTTCCTTGCACCTGTTGGGCAGACTGACTGCGGCGTCATGCAAAATGATAAATCTGCCCCAGTGGGAAAGTTCTGTCATCAACCTTTTGTGTACAAACCCTTTTTGCTTGACTAATGGTTTGGGATCATTAAATATTTTTTTTCCCTCCTTGGGAAATTGACATGAAGTCTCTTATGCTTAGAAAGTTGCATTTATTTGATCAAAAAAAGTTAAATTGTAATATTGTGAAATAATTTAAAATAAATGTTTTTCAAATTTCTATTCCATCACATTTTTAAATATCAGCGTTAAAAACAATGAAGCTTAATATTTGTGTGGAAAGACTGATTCGCATTCTTTGATTAATAAAAAGTGCTTTTTGATCAATGTAATGAGCCAGTGTTAAATAAAAGTTTAAAAAAAGAAAAAAAAAACTGGTTTCTTGAGCACAAATTCAGCATATTAGATAAAACATTCTTATAAAAAAATCCACATTCACTTTATATCCTTCGCAAATGCAATGGCTTGAATCTGTCGAAAAGTCCTCACATCCTCTGATGTTTGACACATGTTCTCCAGCATCTGCTGTCTTCAGCTGTTATAAGCCTTTAACCCCCTCCTGAGTTCCTCACCCTCTCATTTGGTCAAACTGTTTGACGTGTCATTCCTCACCCATCAGTGACTGACATCAAATCAGCCAACATCCTGAAGTTTACACCTTCCACAACTGCTGTTAGAATTCCAACATCCTGTGGACATTTATTTATTCCTGTATTTATTTATTTACCTTAATGCTACCTTTGTTTCCTTTTATATCAGATATCAGTTCAGTGAAAATGTCATAGCAAGTGCAACATTAAAAAAGTACATTTGTGTGCCATCCAACATCTGTTACACACAAGTATTTGGGGAATATATTAGTGGTTATTCCATGGTGTTTGATTACATATTGCATGGTATTCGAATGTTGCCATAACGTACTTCAAACAGAGACTTGTAGGCCTAAGGGTTATAAAAAGCAGCAGTTCTGAGTGCATTTTACTTTAATTCTTGAGACTGATTCAAAAAGAAATACACAGGATAATTGACATACAAAATCAATCAGTTGTGCCTAATGCACCAAAGCCTTCAAAGTGAAACCAGTGTGTTTCAAATTCAGTACATTTCATGATTATTTATCATGCGATTGCACAGTGTGTTTGATATTATGAAAGGCCCCAAAGCATCTGGTCCAAAAATCTGCATCTCGTGTTTTTGACAAATATTATAAGTTTCTCCCTAAGGCATGTCAGTATACATAATAAGAGAGCGTTTGGAAACTCTCGTCTTTCTTTAACGTTACATGACATGCATCACAGATTTTGTGAATCAGTGGGTCTCGTCAAAAACCAGAGCCACCCAAATATAGCAACTACACAACTGGCGCTAATAGAACAAACCCGGCGAACCAAGAGCCGCGAGCACTGGGTCCGCGTCGACCGGCCCCCGACGGTTCCACCAATCACCGCGTGCAGCTGTGTGTGAGTGGCAGCGCACTGGACCAATCACCAGCACAGACGCTAAGATGGGCGGGGCGTGGAGTGAAGAGGGGTGTGGAAATCGGGGTCATTCACAGTCTTGTCTTGCTGCTCTACTCTGACGGCGTGTGTTGGAGGGGGAGGGTGAAGTAGCGCAGCACTACAGTCTTATTAAAGAACAAACGTCCTAAACAGCAGCGTTTTCAGACATAGTACAGAGGATTCTCATGAAAACACCCCGACAAATGCAGGACCCGTGAGTTCAAGCGCTAGAAGGTGTCGGTGACCGTTGATTAGCGGCTGCGCTAGCTGTTGTGCTAACACCTCGTTTACATCCACCGTAATCAGACAGCATCACTCCAGCTCCACAGTTGCACAAACTGCGCTCCTGCGAGCTTCTCTCACGCTCTAGGCAGCCGTTATTGAGTTATT